CTTATGCTTTATAGCAGATGGCAGTGACATAACTGTAAAGTAAGCTATAACCTAAGTGACAATTTGAGTGCAGTATGATTTTAAATATAGAAAATATTTATACCAAAGTAGTTTTGGCCAAGATAATTAGTTCTGTAAAATTGATGGAAAGAACACCTGGCACAAAACAGCAATTTGTTCATTTAATTTCATGTTCACAACTAGAATACATTTGCCTAATTACAGCATTTCAATTTGTGACATGGTTGTTACAAAAATAAGCATGAGTAAATTAGAGAAGTGGTCTTAATTAAAATCTGTGTATGAAGTAAAAAAATGGCTTTTTCCACTGCAGTAGTGTTTGCATTAATGGAACAGCTCATGTATTTTCTGGATGAATCTGCAAACCTGTTAGCGACTGTGCTCTCTGACAGTGGCTCAGGTCAAAAGCTTCCTTCACTTCCCTGCCCTACCAAGCACAATAAATAATGTGGCAGGCTGAGGCCTTTTGTGTCCACACAGATTCCTTCTTTTGCCCGGGGTAGGCGGAAATCGAGGCGTTTGATCTGAATTCTAAAGAGTCTTGTTGCAGCCCAATAAAGGCTGCCATTGTATGTAAATAGTTTATATAAGAGCATATGACTGCTACGGTGCAGGGCAGTGGCTAGTGGCGGAGGAATGATTAGCATTTTCCAAGTGCATGGTGTTCTCAATCCAGCCTTTTGGCTTGCTAAAAAACACAATATTTTAATTCATTTCTTCCTGCTTTGTACACATTTTTGTGTACCACCACAACTGAAGGTAAAATACATGTTCTATCATTTAATTCTGTTTGATACTAACATTCAGTGTGCAGTGAGGTCAGATTTTATGTGACTGATGGCTGACATCCCCCATTGCCTCGACTTGACAAATACTTGCCATGTTGTTTAAATTATCATTATCCTTTTATTGGAGTAATATTGAATGAGCAGAAAATAATAAATATTTTTATTAGGCAAATCTGGTTAAGTCTTCAGCCTTTTTTACAAACAATAGATGTCTGTCAGTCGTCATAAAAAAAAAAAATCTCATAATGAGATGGATGTCTTGCTGGTTCCTTGGAGAAATGTGTTGGCAGTCTGTCAGTCTGTCTGCAACTGGGCTGTAGGTCAGTTTGGGAGTACAGTATTAATACAGGGTGAGCCAATCACGTGGCTCGGCGAATGTTTCGCAATTGGCTTCGTCCTGTTGCGTCTTGTGACGGCGCATGGCGGTAGGCCATCACCCCTGCTTTTATACGGCCAACGGGCTACTTGGCAATTCTTTTCTGTTGTTCCTTATTCTGCCAAATCCAGCTTGATGCTCAAGCCACACCTCAAGATGGTCATCTTTGGACCCGGCGCTGCTTACGCCGCTTGCACCCCTGGCTGAGCCTGGTAAACCTCTAAAAACTACTGTTATAACAGTTAGGCTTTTACTAAATTATTAAGTATTGGACAACAATAACTATAAGCTATTAAAACTGATTCATTGCTACAAATGTGACTTTTGTTCAATAGGAAGGGCTAAATGGTGCTGATGCTTTTTAAGAAACTTGGATATTTTACTTTTCCTGAGAGGGATTTTGATAAAACTTAATATTATTTTACATTAATATATAATATTGTTATAACAGTTGAGCTCAACCAAGAGATATAGCTTAGCCTACATCCATGTAACCCTGACTGAAAATGTAACCTTTATTTTTTTGCAGACCTGGAGTCGAAAATGAACTGGGGGACCTTTTATGCCGTGATCAGCGGCGTAAACAGGCACTCTACTGGCATTGGACGCGTTTGGCTGTCCGTCATCTTCATCTTCCGTATCCTGGTCCTGGTGGTTGCTGCTGAGAGTGTTTGGGGAGATGAGAAGTCCGGCTTCACCTGCAACACCCAGCAGCCCGGCTGCAACAGCGTCTGTTACGACCAGTTCTTCCCCATCTCGCACATCCGCCTGTGGGCGCTCCAGCTCATCTTGGTCTCCACCCCCGCCCTGCTGGTGGCCATGCATGTGGCCCACCGCCGTCACATCGACAAGAAAATCCTGAAGAGGACGGGCCGCAGCAGCCCCAAGGAGCTGGAACACATCAAGAACCAGAAGTTTCAGATAACCGGAGCTCTGTGGTGGACTTACATGATCAGTATCGTCTTCAGAATCGTCTTCGAGGTGGCTTTTCTCTACATCTTCTACTTGATCTATCCTGACTTTAAGATGGTGCGTTTGGTAAAGTGTGACTCATACCCATGCCCCAACACAGTGGACTGTTTTGTGTCCAGACCGACAGAAAAGACCATATTCACCGTATTCATGCTGGCAGTGTCTGGGGTGTGTGTGCTGCTTAACCTGGCTGAGGTGGTATACCTCATAGGCAGGGCCTGCAAACGGTGCTGTCGAGGCTCTGACGAAGAATCCAACGCAGCTTGGATAAGTCATAGATTGTCTTCTTATAGGCAAAATGAAATCAATCAGCTGATAGCAGACCAGTCTCTCAAGTCTAAGTTCACTGTGACCAAAAAGAGCCCAACTGAGAAGGGTGAAAGGTGTTCTGCTTTTTGAGACTCTGCCTCTCCTGTTGCCTTTAAACTAATCAGCATGTCCATGGAGCATGTTGCTCTGCATTAATGTCACATATACTGTATATTGGATCATTGTCAGCAGACCAGTTGGTTATCATTCAGTCAGTTGCTTCTTGAATCATCTGTTTTTTTCTTTATCGGTTTTACTTATACTAGTTGCTGTCGGAACTCGTCTAAAACTCCTTGGAGCCAATAGTGAGGGTTAAAGGACCGTACTAGTGTTTTTGCATGTTTTAGCCCATTTTCTGCAAATCAGACAAAGTGGACGTTGGTTCAGATTCATTCGATTTTTGTGGTTTTGTTTGAATACAGTATGAGAAGCAAATGTTCACGTTTTCTTGAGCTAAAGAAGCCATGTTTGTCAGCATCAAACCCTAATTTTTGTCAAACTGTTGATTAATAATGAAGTTAAAATTATGGTTTAGTGCGGCAGGAAATGTGCGTTATAGATAAAAATATCCTTGCTTTCTTGCTGGAAACCATCAACAGTTGCCACACAGTTCACGATGTATAAAAATCATGAGCATGAAGCAACATTGATTTGAAAGAGATAAGATGAATATTTATGATTTGGCATTATAAAGGTTTTATTTGGAAAACAGATTGATTCTTTGACCAACCTGCAGATTTTTTCACTTTCAACAATAATGTGGCTTCGACACCAAAAAGGATGGTTTATCTCTTTAAGAAACGTACACAAAGTCTTAACAAATACATTTTCATACCATACTTAAATTAAAGGAAACATGCAGCTGTCTGGATGGCACTGAAACATTCAAACTAAAACGTTAAAAGCCTTGGAATATGCTCAGTAGTAACATAAATAATTTCTAGTAAATCAGCCGAAATGTGCAAAAACACAGGTATGGTCCTTTTAAAGAAGCAAAGATTACCGTAGAGAATAAAATGCTGGATAGAGAGTGAACTTTTTATTTTCATAATTCAAAATATTGTTAATATGTACCATATTTAATTCCAGTCTGATTCAAAGCTAGGTAATGAAGGAAAGGGTAATTTATGTGAGTAAAAGCCATTAAATGTCAGTAACAGGCCTTTAAGCCAATAATGGTAAGCTTAGATTTTTATTACAGTTTTAGTTTTTTGATTTAGCTAAACCTTGTGCAGACAGCTGTAACTATTATGTAACTTGGCATACTGTTGTGGAAATATAACAGTTGGTGCTAGTAAACCAAAGAAAGTTTTAAAATACTGTCCAGATATGGTGTCATTGGATGTGTTTTTTCTACAGATAATTGAAAAATAACATTAATTTGAAGGCAAATTTCCCACACACGTATCCATTACTTTAAACTATTAATAAAATATGTAATCGGAACAGAATGGTCAGAATGGTGAACAGACCAAAAGTTTTCAGAGTCTGTGACTTTTCAATAAACCTTCAAATCCTACAAAACTGGAGGAACTGTTGAAGATGCCACATGATTTTCAACTGATGAAATGGCAAAATTACAATAATTTATTCGGCCTTGTTCCTCCTTCACTTGTCTGCTGGGTCACTTTTAGAATACTGCAAATCCCAGTACTGTACATACGTCTTTGGATTTGTATATGTTTGAATTCAATTGTGAATACAGCCAACTTACTTCACTGCAGCTTCTGTTTGAGGTGATCTCTTTTTTTTGTTTGTTTCAGAAAAATGTTTGAGGTTGACCTACTTTTTAACAGAGACCCATCACTGTCTGACAGATCTTTAATACTACTCTGCATAGTATATTATTCAGTGCCTCTCTGGTCCTGAAAATGTAATGACCCATACGCTGGTATCTGTTTATACAACTGTTCTATTCTACAGTCATTCATATTATATTGCATACAGTACCCTGATGTTGACACTTATGTGTAAATGTACATATATCAATTTACATCCGGGTAAACAATCCACTTAATACTGTATATAATATGGGTTGAAACTATATGTGTACATTGTGTAATATAAAGAAATAAACTGCCTTATAATTTGATGTCATTTTAAGTTACTTAGCAAACACACATAAAGGTGATTTTGGTGAATGGGTGAAATAATGAAATCCATCAAAGGACAGTAACCTTAATAATTATATACAGTGTTTTCCATTTTAATTTAATCTCTTTACAGATATGTTGAAGCTGAACTTTTTCACTGACTTTCCTCCTTCCTGTCACTGTGATTTGTAACTTCAGGATGCAAATGGCTACTCATCTCCAAATCATGCCCCCCGTGATAGGAGAGACTCTCGTGCTATATTTAGAGCCCAGAAGCACTTGTGGCCAGACAGACTTAGCAGACAACATCATTGGCCAGCTGCCGTGTCACTCACTGTAACAAACGAGTAGAGGGGCTTTAATAGTTTACATTAGAGAGTGTACCCTGTGCCAAATTTAACCACGGATGGGGGAGGGGGTTTTTGAGGGAGGGTAGGCCGGTTGAGAGTGCGTCCAGCAGGTTACGTGTGTGTGTGTGTGTGTTGTGGTGGTCAGTGGAGGGGCCTGGATCTTGATTCCTGCCTGAGCTGTATTTTGAAAAAAAGGACACAGAGTGAGTGGGTTTGTCGGTGTGGAACAGAGGTTGTGGCTAGCAGAAGTCCACTTTTCCTGTCCATTCAAGGGCATTGCTGGGGGGCCGAAGATCAGCTTTGCACTGAGGCCTGTCGGCAAAGCAGACGGCCTCATGGACCCTCGAAGACGTGCAGGGCTTCACCACAGGGGATGTATAAGCTGACAAGGTGGGTTTATCCAGTATCCAGTAAATGTGACTTCTCTGTGATTATTTGTCCGCCTTGTGGATTGATGTACTTTCGTTAGTTAGATTTAAATATAAACTTTGGGTACCTGTGGCCAAAGGCTGTCGTTTGTTTACACACTGTCTTGTGTGGGAATACAATGTTGAGAGTTGCTGGTGTCCACACTTGAGAAAACCACCTTAAAAAAGGGTTTATAATGAAAGCATATATTTGTTTAAAATTACAACCCAGTCTACAGTTGGTAAAACACCAGATAGATGTATTAGTGGTGGCTCTATAAACATAATTTCAGCCGTTTTCAGAGATCATTCTCCCATACAGTAGCATACCTTGAATTGCCTGTCACACTACAGTACAGTACATCCATCAGAAGTAGATTATATTTATATCATGATGTGTTACAGGAGCTGACAGTACCGACATTACTGAACTGCTTCTAATTCGCACTTCCACTGCATCTCCCCGGTGTTTGATTTCACCTTGTGTAGATCATGTTGCTGTGACTCAGGCCGTGAAGGCTGGGAGCCACAGAATCATGACTGGAACCTGCCTACCTCCTGTCCACACTTGCCAAATATATACCCTCCTAAAGTAAATATAATCCTGTCCGCATCCACGTGGAAAAGGCCACTACCTGCTCGGAAGCAGAGTCTTCCAGTTGTACACTCGGTTAGCAGCTTGGCTCCCTAGAGACTGATTTGGTCTGAGCTCTGCTGAACTTGGTAAGACATTTTAGAGAATTTGTAGTCATCAGGAACACTGAAGCTTACTTTAGACTCTAGATTCAATTTATTTTAGTCATCTCATATATTTGCTTTGTAGGCATGTCTATACACAAGTCACAAATCCAATTGAAAAACTGTTGTTTTTGATTGTTTTTGTACCTCCAGTCCCAGGTCTGAGCTCACACAGCCATGGGGGACTGGAACCTTCTGGGAAAGCTTTTAGAAAAAGCCCAGGAACACTCGACTGTGGTGGGGAAAGTGTGGCTCACTGTCCTGTTCATCTTCCGCATCCTGATCCTGAGTGCTGCGACAGAGAAGGTGTGGGGCGACGAGCAGTCAGGCTTCACCTGCGACACCAAGCAGCCCGGTTGTGAGAACGTGTGCTATGACATCACTTTCCCCATCTCCCACGTTCGCTTTTGGGTGCTGCAGATCATCTTTGTGTCCACACCTACGCTGATCTACCTGGGACACATCCTCCATCTGGTGCGGATGGAGGACAAGCATAAAGAGAGAGAACAGGGACATCATTCAGACAAACAGGCCCTTATTGTGGATGCTAAGCACAAAAAGGCTCTGGTGAGGGACAATAAGGGCCGGGTGCGCCTACAGGGGGAGCTCTTGCGGACTTATGTCTTAAATGTGGTCTTTAAAACCCTGTTTGAGGTGGGCTTCATAGTGGCTCAATACCTCTTGTACGGCTTTGAGCTGAAGCCCATGTACACATGTGACAGACCGCCCTGCCCCAATGTGGTAAACTGCTACATATCCCGTCCCACAGAAAAAACTATCTTCATCATCTTCATGCTGGGAGTGGCCAGCGTGTCTCTGCTCCTCAACCTCATAGAGGTCTACCACCTGGGCTTCACTAAGTGCCGCCAGGGCATCACCTTCAGGAGAACTCAAATGTCCCCTGAGGGCATCCCCAAGGAGCCCAGCGAGACGTCTGTGCCGTTTGTGCCGAGTTACGACGACTACTTCCACGGGCACCAACAAGTCCAGCCGCCCTACCCGCCCGTCCCCAGCTACAACCTCTCCCCTCTGTCCGATGGCACAGACTCGTCCTTCCACCCCTACCACAGCAAGGCGGCGTACAAACAGAATAAGGACAACTTGGCTGTTGAAAGGAGCAGCAGCAAGCCAGAGGAATGTGACCTGAAAGGAAAGAAGGGAGCAGGATCAGCCCCTGGGTCACCTACGCAGGCCAGACCAGGCCGCAGTGCCAAACACAGCAACAACAAGACTAGAATAGACGATCTGAAGATATGAAGAGGTTTATGTTTCTCTGAGGGGTCTTAAATTGCTGTGAGGGGATCAGATGTTGTTTAGTAGCATTCATACATGCTGAACTGACCCCCCCCCCCCTTAAAATGACACAGGTTCGACTCATTCCAACTAAAGGGAGGGACATTTATAGGGCACACAGAGAAGCTGCAGTTGTACAGTAATGTGTAAAGATTAATGTGGTTGAAAAATCACATTTGTAATGAACTTAAACCTCTTCAAGGTGTCCCATAGCTGGGAATTTCTTTTTCTTTTGAAACACTGAAATTGGATTTCACATTAGACTGTATGGTAAACCATCTGTGGCAATGCCATATTTTCCAATTTTCAATGTTGATTAGTATTGGTTTGTTTTTATTAATTGATTTGTGTATGGTAGGAATCTTCACTATTCACTATTGTCACTGAGAATCTAACAAAATCATCAGAAAGTACTGACTGCTCAGGTTTTACATTCAACATATCTTTTTTTTTTTTTTTTTCAATGTGTGATGAATGTGAATGAACCCAAAAATGCAACAATATGTATAAAGTTGCCCAAACCTTGGGAACAGAATCCAGGGCAGAAACTTGTTGAGCACCAGCCTGACCTCATTTGAGGAAATCAGATAGGGCAAATAGTTAAATTTAACTTCCTTTAAGTGTTTTGAGGTCACCATGTAGCATAGTTCACTTGCTTAGACTTGAAGTGAAAAGTTGTGCAATACCTGACAACACATTGGACACTGGAAATATTGTACGTAATTCCAGGACGCGCCTCAAAAGAAACTGCACTGGTCTCAGGAGTTCCCACATTTGTACTCTCTCTTTTTATTGCGACAGCCAGCAAGTAGATAATTATAAGCACATTGTTTTGTTTATCCTTGTTTATATCTGTGTTTGTGTCATTTGTTTTCTGTAAAGCACTTGGTGACAACCATATTTGTACAACTGCTTGAAATAAATCTGTCTTAAATTTGCAAAGTTTTATAATCTTAAGTCTTTATCAGGAAAAAGGGGAACCATTTGACTGGTTCAACACATGTTGCAACGGTTATTTCATATTCCTAAAACAAATAAATCAAGATCAACCAAGGAGAAACGATAATATTGGTGATATTTAGTTTCTCTAAACAGTAGCTCTAACATATAGCCAGAACAGAAACACATTCGAAACACTGAATCTCTTAAATTAGATTCAGGTTTAGTTTGATTCATTAGTATCTACACGCAAATATTCCAACCTGTTAAAAACTGACACGCTCAACTGGGAATAAACATGCCGTGTAAAGTCTTTGCTGTCTGCATATCCCACACAGACACATCTTACACTCATCTGTGCCAGGAAAGCACAGCACACAGACACCCCTGGTATGGAAACCTTGAAATTAATGAAATAGCATGTTCATGACAAAGAAGTGCTCTCTCATACCTTTGGACTAGTATGCTCATGATTTTCTGTCAATGCTTGATGTGTCGAGGGAAGAACATCTAGCCAGGCTTTTTACTTATATATATATATATTAAAAACAAAAAAATAGAATTCCTGAAAAAAATGTAGTTTCTTGATGTGTTGTGATATGATTGAGTGTAGTCTGGGCTACTATCCTATCCTTTAGTGCCAGAAACAATATGTTTCAGACACAGACAAAACATTGTTATTATTGTAATATATGGCTCCATCAATCAGTAAATAAACTAGAATAGTCTCTGATTCTAAAAAAAAATGTCCCATATACTTTTACAAATGAAAATAAAACATGAAGGTTACTTAAAGATATTTTAAAACATACATCATCTTAAAATACAATAAAGTGATCATCTTTGAGAAAAGGAGTTATATGTGTTTTTGAAATGTTGACAGCTGAGTAGATATGACTTATGGGTATAAATGGATATCCAGCACTTTGAAATTAAATCCTTTTAGTGTAATGCCAACATTTCAAACTGTAGTTGCATCAGAAGGTCGGAGCATGATAGAAGACATACAGTGTAGCACATTTGTGGAAATACAGAGTGTATTTCAATAAATTATATAGCTTCAAACGTTACAATACGAGCATAAATATCAGAAAGAACACTTTAACTGCCATGACTTAGATCAATTTTGGGTTTTGTATTTTGTAACTCTGCAAAGGGAAATTAATAGCAGCATGATCACCTATGACATTAATAACTAAAAGTGAACAAAGATTTTAAGATGGTGTACCCCAACTTCAACCTTAATAAAGTAATATTGTTTTACATAGCCAGCAAATCACACATTAGCAGTGGAATTAGCTGAAAATATAGCAAACATAACAATATGATGCATCCTCTTTACTGAATATTGCAGTCATTATTTATTATTGGACCTGTGAGAGCTGTCACTTTATATGAAACATTTGCATTTATTTAAACACATTTTAATGTGAAGTGAAGGTGGGCTCTTGTTTTACAGTCCCCACAGTCCATAAAAAGTAGGAAATGTAAAATTAAATTGCTACAAGGATTTTAATGTCCTTTGAATATTGTGTATCTGTCTACTTATTTAGCCTACAGGTTAGACTTTCATTAGAAATGAGGGGGACACAAAGGGAAGCGCTGAACAAATGCAAAGATGTGCTCTGAAGTTATCAATGGTCTCCCAATTACCTGGAAGCCTATTGGCCCCTTTAAATTAAAAACGTATACATGTATAATTCTTTACCTTAAAAACACATGCAGCAAAACACCTACACAAAAAAACATAATGAAAGCAAGGAAATGTCAGCAATACTTTTATACTGTATGTGGCTTTACTACAGATATAGTCAAGTATGTAGTATAATATGAAGCCTAATCAAGAAAGTCAAGACACTTTCTTTTCTGCAGATTTTCATACATGAAACCTGCATATTAATTATGTATCGTATGTTTACACCATTATTTACTGTAAAAAAATATACATTTTACATGTTTGGGATAAATAAGTAATAAATAAGATAAATTAATAATACCAGAGTGCTGTTGTGCCTTCAGTGCTGGATTATCTGCTTAAAAGCACCAGAGTTTCCTGGGAAAAGCCGCACAGACTAAGACAATAAAGCCCTGCCTTGGTTATGTTTAATGGTGGATATAATTTTATGTGTCCAGATGAGTTATTCTATCACTTTATTCTGCTTATTCCCTGTGGTGCCTTTATATTATTTTTTCCACCAGCTTTAGCACAGTACTCTACTGCCCTCTCCCTTTACTTTCACTTTAACAGACACGCTGCTCATCTGAGGGTTGTATCCGTTCGGCATGCCATCTGCTGGGCGAAGGAAATTCACAGACACAATATATTTTGTGATGCCATTTCTGTTAGAATTTACTGGCAAATAACTGAGAACATAAAATAGTAAGCAGATGCAGCCCTATATATCTGTCCAATCTATTACATTAGGACATATGTAAACAAGCAGCCTGAATGTGGACTGCATTTTAGGACATGCAGGACACACAGCATAAAATCATCAGGGAGTGTTTATTTAATCCCTGACTCAATGAAGTGTTCTGCGCTCTCTGGCCTGTTTTTCATCACACTGACACTATGCACCCAACCTGCTAATGTGTGATAAATGACAAAGAGCCAGAAGCAAAGCCTGCCCTTGCACCAACTTTGTGTTGCTGCAAGGGTACGCTTATGAAATATCAGCCAAAAGGAAAACGAGGCTTCTGATGTTTGCTGACTGAATCAGTCTGATTGCTTGCAGGCCTGTCACCTCATCACCAACACCAGCCTTGTTAAACTCGATGCAGACTGCACAGCTCTAACACCAAACTGCAGTTCAGGTCTGGAGTGCTGCTGAAAAGACAGACTCACACACAGCGCAGAGGAAAATCAGAAATCAGCTGCTGACATGGCTTCTGAGGCAGAAAACATCATTATGGCTTGGCATCTGTCAGTTCTTGCCTTGGCTTCCATATTGTGCTGTCTGTGAGAACAGGCTGGCTGTTTGCTGCCACCATGTGACAGCTGAGACACTCTGCAGACGTCAGTAAGGTATCTCATGAACTGTTGCCTCAGTGGACTTGAGACAAAGCTTGAATTGTTGTGGCAACTTGATTGATTCTTTTCACTATAATCTATAATCACTGTAAAAATAAAAATAGGGTAATCAATTTCTTTTTTCTGAGCACATGATATCAAATATTAATCACAATAAAATGCTATAGGTCATCAATTCAATTTTTTCTGTTGTGACAACTGAATTTGCCTCTGGGATAAACTAAAACAAATCACTATGACGAATCTATCTATCTATGAGACATGCAAATGCTGTTCTCACACGCCTATTGAAGCTCAGATTTTTTACTGAGCATAAATAAACTGAAATTCCTCAAAAAGAAAACCCATCCCTAAGTAAATAAATGCACGTACTGCACACACACACACACACAGAGACAAATCAATGCACAGGTTTTGGTTTGGTGCGACTCACACAACAGATGGTAGGGGAAGTCCTGTCCTCTTGTGTGATACAGCTTGTGTATCACGCGCAGACCTCATTTGAAAAAAAAAGTTCATCCTAGATTTCATCACAGCATCATCTCAGACTTCAAAACTCTCATTTTATTTAGCCACTGATATGTTTTTATGTTTGGCAGGCTCAAGCCACCTTTTCACTGTATACAGCTTATTATACTTTTACTAATTATTATTACTGCTTACATATAATAAAAAATAAAAACCCTGATAACCATTACATAAAAATATCTTTTTGACATCTAATTTTGTCTATCATTAGAGTACTGTCAGTGTATAGAGAATATCAATAGAAAGCATCCTCAATCTTAGAAAAAATGTAAATCTGCATTGTGTTTTAGTGAAACAAACGCAAAAAGCCTTTAAAAATATGTGAAACAACTAATAAGTTAGAAATTGTCAACTTTATTTTAGATAGTCACCATTCTCATCTGCAACACACCAATTTCACATACATATACATCTTCAAATCACCAAACATCTTCAATACAAAACATTCCTTTAAATACAATTTTATCTTGCAATAGTTTCTTAATGTAAAGTTCCAAAATATCACCGAACTACAGTTCACAAACACTTTAAAACAAAGAAAAAAAAACATTTGTTTACAGGGACAAACAGATGATTCGGATTATTTTAAGGACAAGACATCAGAAGAGTCTGATCCAAAAGAGAGAGTGCATGAGAGTTAAGCACATCATGGGTTTATATTGAAGAAGATTAAGAGTGACTTTTAAATGAATGCAGATGAGAACTGAAATTTGAGGACAGACTGATCAATTCAGTAGCACAAACCCACAGAATGGACGTGGAGCATTTTGGAATCAAATCCTTCATACATACAAATTAAGTAAGTACATACAGTGTGTCTGTGTGTGTGTGTACACGCTCGCAGCATCCAAAACCCAAGATATTTTCCCACATGACAAACTCTTTACTGTGAGGGGCTTCTAGCATTTAGCCAAATGGCAGCTTATAACAAAGCCTCTTAAAAATAGGGGCTGTCCTCCGTCGACAAAAGTAAAATTTTGAGAGAACATAAAGTCAAAAAGCGGCCTGCTGAGGCTGCCGAAAACACACACCCAACAGCCTCCACTACCCTGTGCCAGGGAATAATAACGTAGTTCCTTGCTTCAACCTTGGGTCAAAGCCTAAGCGCAAACCAGATCCCCTAACAGTCTGGTTGGTAGATGGTGCCGTGTTTAGTGCTGGAGCCCCAAGGTGGTGGTGGTGGTGGTGGTGGTGGGGGGGGAGGCTGCAGATCCATGCCCGTGTCTGCCACCCTACAAGCTGTTAAGGACACGCCCTTAATCGTCTTTGCCCTTCCCTTTAGGTGTGCCTTCGTTCCACGCCACATAAACAAACAAAGCCAACACCACATGCACAGCGAGCACCGCAACGATGGCTGCATAGAAGTAGCTGTCAGAGCTTGACATCTTCATCGAACCTACGGAAAGGAGGTGGAGAACAGTTAACGGTGACGAAAAGCAACTGC